AATAAATGTAGGCAACATAGATGAGGGCTACCAGTATAAATAACAAGAAACCTACCCACTACTCGTTGTGGTTGACGCTGCAGTAGTCGATGTTGAGCTAGGATCCTCTGTGGTTGTGCTTGTAGATGATGCGTCAGTGGCGGTACTTGAGGTACTACCAGCCGCCGCACTGGAAGTACTGCTGGCGGCAGCTGTGGTCGAAGTACTCGACGTCGATGAGGAGCTGGATGATGCTGTTGAGGACGATGCGGACGAGGAGGCAGAAGTGCTGGTCGAGTCTGTCGCGGTGGTCGCAATACTGTTCGTAGACGATGCAGAGGTTGTGGTCGTGGGAACTTCTGTAGTCGATGACGAGGCCGTAGTAGAGGACGTGGAAGTAATTGTGGTCGAGCTTGGATCTTCGGTAGTCGTGCTTGTTGAAGTACTGTCACTAGCGGTAGTCGACGTACTGTCAGTTGACGTTGCTGTACTAGACGCGGCAGTAGTCGTTGTTGAGCTTGGATCTTCAGTCGTTGTGCTTGTCGCTGTCGAGCCACTAGCGGTCGAAGAGCTGCTACCAGCCGCCGTGCTTGAAGTACTGCTGGCGGCCGCAGTAGTCGAACTACTTGACGTCGTTGACGAACTGGATGCTGCTGACGAGGATGCTGTTGAGGATGAAGTGCTGGTCGAGCCAGTCGCGGTCGTTGCATCTGTGCTTGTCGACGAGGATGCAACAGTTGTTGGTGCCTCTGTGGTCGATGCCGTGGTCGTGGAGGTGGAAGTGGTTGTGGTCGAGCTTGGATCTTCTGTGGTTGTGCTTGTTGAAGAACTGTCACTAGCGGTAGTCGAGGTTCTGTCAGTGGATGTCGATGTGGTTGATGCTGCAGTAGTCGTTGTTGAGCTTGGATCTTCAGTCGTTGTGCTCGTAGATGTCGAGTCACCAGTGGTTGTAGAGTTACCAGTCGCCGTAGTAGAAGTACTGCTGGCGGCCGCAGTGGTCGAACTACTTGACGTCGTTGACGAACTGGACGATGCTGACGAGGATGCTGTTGATGAGGACGACGAAGTGCTGGTCGAGCCAGCCGCAGTCGTTGCGTCTGTGCTCGTCGACGATGCAGTAGTCGTTGTCGTAGGAGCCTCTGTGGTCGACGACGAGGTGGTTGTAGAAGAAGTAGATGCAGTTGTAGTTGAGCTTGGATCTTCTGTGGTTGTGCTTGTTGAAGTAGTGTCGCTACCGGCCGTTGATGTGCTGTCAGTAGACGTTGATGTAGTGGACGCGGGAGTAGTGGATGTTGAGCTTGGATCTTCAGTCGTTGTGCTCGTGGATGTCGAGTCACTCGTGGTTGTAGAGGTGCTATCGGTCGCTGTACTCGAAGTGTTGCTATCAGCCAAAATCGCTGAGCTACTTGACGTCGTTGACGAACTGGACGATGCTGACGAGGATGCTGTTGATGAGGACGACGAAGTGCTGGTCGAGCCAGTCGCAGTCGTTGCATCTGTGCTCGTCGACGATGCAGCAGTCGTTGTCGTGGGCACCTCTGTACTCGACGACGTCGTCGTTGTTGTAGACGATGACGTGGTTGTGGTTGAGCTTGGATCTTCTGTGGTGGTGCTTGTTGAAGTATTGTCACTAGCGGTAGTCGAAGTATTGTCAGTAGTTGTAGAGGTGGTCGACGCGGCAGT